TATTCATTCCCATTTTACTTCTTTTTTTTTCCTCACCTCATTCATCCACGGCAAGTTCCTGTAGTATAAACAGTGGTGGCAGTGACTGGGTAAACGAAAAAATTTGAGGTCCTATTGGATGTTGATGTGGGTTGGATCTGGTAGTGAAGACATCACACACGAAGAAGAATACGAGAAGACAATTGGACAACAAAGCTTTTGTATATTTGGGTTGAATCTGGTTAATTTGAGTTTGATTAGGGTCGTGGGTTGATTCTGTTTTAGTTTGGGGGGAATTTTTGAAATTAATCCTTCATTTTATGATTGAATGCAGAATGAATAGGAGAGAGGCTGTGGGTTCGGAAAGTGGCTTGGTAGTGGAGAAAATTTCCGTGCAAGAGAGTTGGTTCCAGAATTAGATTTCAGTGCAAGAGATGTGGTTCTAGAATTAGTTGACAACAAAACCTAGATTTAGCAACAAAACCCTACAAGATGACATGGTAAAACAAGTTTAGCAATTAACAAACAGATTTAACAAGTATTTAGAAAAACACAACAAATAAAGAAAATAATTAGCAAACTTACTGTCAATAGGATTAAAATCACCAATATTTCCTCATGTTGCAGCCATTAGGAGTGATTCACCACGAAAATTTATAATGAATATTGATTTTTTCTCAGATTTTTCTATTTGGGGGAAGGTTCTAACCCTAACACAACAAAAAAATTGACAAAATGAGTTTTTTAACGCATTTGAGTTTTTTTAATCGTTTTATTAATAACCTAGGGTTGTTGAAGGTTAATTTACGATAATACCCTCCTAATATAGGTCATGTACCTGACACATTATGATTTCCGTCTCTCATTGTAAGAGAAGGATAAAACTTGTTAACGGAATAAAGTTCGGGAGGAACTGATGTTATTTTTTAAAATTCGAAGGGGAAAGTGTTATAAGGGTCATAGTTCGGAAGGAATTTTAAAATTAATCCAAGCTAATATGATACATTTTTTTTAATAGGACAATCCTACTAGTAGTGTTACTTTTTGACCGTTAGATCAAATCAAAATCACATCATATTAAAAAAGTATGTAAAACAAACACTTTTAATACAAATTTAACGGATTTAACAAACAATTTTTTACAGTTTTTAGAATTTGAGTTTTGTTACAATAAAAAGCTCTTAGAAATAGTCACATCTAACTTTTTTGCTGCAGTAAAAAGCTCTCAAATAAAGTCACATTTAAACTCGGATCAAAAACTCGAATCAACGAACTAAACGGTTCCTTAAACGCTAACAAGAGAAAAAAAACAAGAAAAACTAAAAACAAAAAAAAAAAAAAAAAAACTCCATCATTTTGTTCGAATCCTAATCCCACGTATCCCTGATTCAAAAAGACCCATAAAGTTCTCAAAAAGCGCCATAAGAGGGTGCAAATACAAGGCCACAAAATTTACATTTTTCTCGGAGCAAATTAAAATAACAGTAGAATTAATGTTGGAACTTTAGGCCGGCGGGCCGGCCCGAGGCCTGAATTTTTTGGGCTCGGTGGTAAACCCAAATGCCGGCCCGTTCAACTCCATTTTTCGGGCTTGGGCTCGGGCTTAGGCAGCCCAAAAATGGACAACTCGCCGGAGCCCGCCGCCATGATATCGCCGTCAATCGCTGTCCACCGGAATTTTTTAAAATTTTTTCAATCAGGCCTAAACGGCCCGAATTGCCCGAAGCGCGAGGCCGACCAACGGATATATTTTTGACCGTTGGTGTCCAACCCGACCCGAAGCCCGAATTCAATGGCTATTTTTTTTACCGTTGCCCGATTTTCAGCCCGAGCCTGCCTGAACCCGACTTGCCGAGAAAAAAAAAACCGTTGGATCCGAATTTGGGGGAAAAAATAAATTTCTTAACCCAAAAATTTCCCTATAAATACCCCTCATCCCCCAGACATTTTCTTCACCCAAACTATCTCAATCCCTCTCAATTTCTCTCAACCTCTCTCAAATCTCTCTCACAATTTTTTTAAAAACTATTACAATATCCTAAAGCTCTCTCTCTCAAATCGCTCTTATTTTTTTATAATGGATTCTTTTGGTTATAGTGGTGTTCCTGTTTATGCCCAACACAATGTGGAAGAAGGACAATTTCCCGCTAATGAATTTATTATGCAGGAATCTGCTAATCCGAGCTCTGGTTGACGTACTGGAGGTCGTGGTCGCAATGGTGGTGGGCGTGGAGAAGCGGTGAGTGCAAGTGCTACTGCGTCTGCAAGTGTTGCGACCTCCAGGAGAAAATACAAGTGCACCTCGACAGTTTGGGATTACTTCGACACAATTAAGGAGATCGACAATGAAAGTAACACTAAACATAAAGCTCAGTGTAAATATTGTTTACCTAAATTATAAGGTGACACTATTCACGACACAACACACTTGAGAAGACACTCTGAAAAGTGCCTTCAAAAGCTTAGCCAGTCTAGTAGAGTCGAACTCCGTCAAACACAATTATCTTTTGATCACGCAACCGGTGGTCTAACTACTTAGAAATACGATCCGCAAGTAGATCGTATGGAAGTTGCGTGAATGATAGCTACATTAGATCAACCACTTAATTTTGTAGAGCATCCTAATTGGCAACGATATATTAAAGTTGTGCATAATCCTAATGCACAGTTCACTTCAAAAAGTACTCTCAGGAAAGATTTGTTAAAATTATTTAAAAAATAAAAAGAAGCATTAATAAACATTTTACACTCCACTAGCGGTTGCGTTGCATTAACGACAAATATTTGGTCTACCCTTGGCAATAAAAATTATTTAGCTGTAACTGGAAATTACTTTAAAGGATTCGATTTAGATAAGAAAATATTATATTTTAAATGTGTTTTAGAATCACATAGTGCCGATTTAATATATAATACAATTTTAAATGTAATTGATGAATTTAGATTAAGAGATAAAGTAATGACTATAATATTAGATAATGCTAGAGCAAATACTAAAGCAATTGAGTACTTTGAAAATGATTAAGTTTATTCGATTATGGTACTATTTTCCACCAACGTTGTGCATGCCACATAATTAATTTAATAGTTAAATCATGTTTAAAAGAAATGGGTGCTCACATTAAAATAATTAGAGATGGTATTGCATGGATTCAAGGTAGTAACCAAAGAGAACAAGATTGGTTTAGGTTCTTACAAGCATTAAATCTATCTCCTAGAGCATTAGCCTTAGATATGCCTGTAAGATGGAACTCAACTTATATTATGCTTCAACAATGCATCCCCTATAAGGATGCTATAATAAACTATATCTGTGCAAAATTAGGAACATGACATATAGATGCATATGATTGGCAAATTACTGAAGTTTTGTATCAATTTTTTGGGTAGGTTTCATGAAGTTACTTTAAAACTTAGTGGACCATATTACCTAATATCACATTTAGCTTTAGTTGAACTTTTAAGAATTAGTATTTAATTTAGTGAATATAGGGCGGACCCAATCTTAGGAGTTCCTATCGCTTCCATAAAAAAGAAATTTAAAAAATATTGGTCTAAGTTGCCTTTGTTGTATGGTTTGGGTACTATTTTTGATCATAGATTAAAATTAAACGGTTTAAAAAGTGGTTTAGAAAACTTAGGTGAATTTTTAGGCATCAATTGTTCTTGCCAATTTCTAACAATAAAGGCAAAATTTTTTTTGATCTATAGTAAATATGAGAATAGGTTTAAAAACACAAACTCTAGAGTACAGGAACCGCAACAACAAGATGAAAACCCACATTCATTCTTGAATGTTTTCAGGTTGAAAACGAAGAAGAAGACGACTCAAACAGAAGCTGGGAGTGGATCTTCATCAACAGGTGGCAGCAGCGACGGCGGCTTCAATGAGCTTATGGCGTACCTGAGTGAGAGCTTAGTAGTCGACGGTACTAGAGAATCGTTTGACCTACTTCAATGGTGGAGGGCACGAGCATTAACTTGATCAATCCTAACTCGATTGGCAATAGATATATTTTTGATCTCCACTGTTTCATCTGAACAAGCCTTCAGTACGACCGGACGAATACTGGAGGAACGACGAAACACATTATAAAGGGACATTGTTGAAGCCTTGGTCTGCATCAAGGATTAGGATCGTGCCGATCAACGTTTATAGGATACAATTTCGCCGGAAATTCAAGAATGGATCGATGAATTTAATAGATTAACATTTAATTTTGAAAAAGATCTTAGAAGAGAGTAGCTCATGCCCGGGATCGTATAATATCAAAATGTTTCCCCGGAGTGGTTCAAGCTTATGTGACCAAAGCTGGAAAGAAAGATTCTTTACCAAGAAAGGTAGCAAAGTCACCTCCATTCTCGATTTCTATTGCGACAGAGGGAGGTAATATAATAATAGAGTCAAAATCACGATAATTTGTAAATATGTATTTGCTTTTGACATTGTAATTATATATTTAGACTTTGTAAGTTTGTAAAATTTGTAATTCGTCACAAAATGATTGCACTCTTTTTTCCTTATCATGTTTTTATCCTAATTGAGTTTTTCTTAGTAAGGTTTTTAACGAGACAATAATGAATTACGAATTTAAAAATTAATATACAAAATTAATCTATTAAATTGTATTAATAATGTGCGCTGAATGTTGATTTTAGTTTTTATATAATTTTAATACAAAATAACTTAATAATTATAAAAATTAAAAAATATAAAAAATATATTTTTTTCGGGCATTTCGGGCGGGCTCAGGCAACCAAAGCCAGCCCGCAGCCTGGGCCTGGCCTTCTCGGGCTCGGGCAAGCGGCCCAAAAATTTTGGACAAATCGGGTTGGGCATCAAACATAAAATTGATATTTTTAGATAGTCGCGGACAGCTCATCTAAAATTTAAGTGTTACGTAGAATCCACAAAATACAATTTAAAAAAAAAAAAACCCCACATATATCTTCCTCAACTGCTTTAAGGGGATATATATAATTAGACTCAAACGACAGAGACCCAAACGTTCGTCAGAGAGCGCATAAAAGTTGCCCAGAATTTCTCTCTCTGTCGTTTTAAATGCTTTATTATTATCAATAATATGGTTTCTCTCCATTTCTCTTTATTGCTATGATGAATTTCTGCTTTGCAAGCAAGACCCGTTTTTGCACTACCACTACTTCGTCCGACCACGCTCTGAATCTTCTCCATTTTATTAAGCTCTCCCTTACCCAACAATCTTTAAAACTCGCCCAACAAACTCACGCGCGGATTCTCACTCTGGGACTCAATCAAAACCCTTTTCTCGCCACGAAACTGATCTCCGCGTACGCCACGTTTAAGATCCCAACTTGTGCAAGGTTCGTCTTTGAATCAAACGAGCTCAAGGATACATATTTGTGGAACTCATTGATCAGTGGTTACGTGAAAAATGGAGGATATAGTGAGGCTTTTGAGCTGTTTAGAGAAATGTGTCGTGGTGATTATGTTCCTGATGATTATACGATGGCGACGATGTCGAAAGTCTCTGGCGAGATGGAGGACTTGGTTGCTGGGGAATTGATTCATGGGAGGATTATAAGATCTGGGTTTGGTTTTGATGTTGTCGTTTGCAATTCCTTGATGTATATGTTTTGTGAATGTGGGAAGTTTGGTGGTGCCAGGAAGGTGTTCGATGAAATGCCGCAAAGAAATGCGGGGTCTTGGAATGTGCTTATTACTGGGCATGTCGGTTGTGGGAATCAGATTTTTGATAAAGAAAGTTGGGAAATTGTGATTAATATGCAAATTGAAGGGGTTAAGCCTGATGGGTTTACGGTTTCGAGTCTTTTGCCTTTGTGTGGTGTTGATACCCGAAAAAGACCTGATTATGGAAAGGAGCTTCATTGTTATGTTGTGAGGAATGGACTGGAATTTAATTTGGGTTCTGATGCTCATCTGGGATGTTGCTTGACTGATATGTACTCAAAGAGTAGTAGAATTATTGCAGCTAGACGGGTGTTCGACCAAATGAAGAATAGAAATGTGTATACTTGGACAACGATTATCAATGGTTACGCACAAAATGGTGCTTCGGATGAAGCGTTGAATGTTTTTCGCGAGATGCAAGAAAGGGATAGGATAGAGCCCAATAGGGTATCTCTTGTGAGTGTCCTTCCTGCTTGTAGCTCTCATGCTAGTCTAATGGGAGGCAAACAAATCCATGGATTTGCAATCCGGAAGCTAATGAATCACGACGTATCTTTGTGCAACGCTTTAATCGATATGTATTCCAAGTGTGGGAGTATAGATCTCGCAAGGCAGGTTTTTGAGGATGATTCTTTTGTTAAAGACTCAATCTCTTGGAGTTCAATGATTTCTGGATATGGATTACATGGAAGGGGAAATGAAGCAGTTTCATTGTATGATGAGATGGTTCTTGAAGGAATACAACCAGACGCGATAACTATCGTCGGGGTACTTTCTGCTTGTGGCAGGTCAGGTTTGGTTGATGAAGGCCTTAATATATATAGCTCAGTGATTAATAAATATGGAATCAAACCTACAGTTGAAATCTGTGCTTGTGTCGTTGATATGCTCGGGCAGTTGGGCCAGCTTGATCAAGCACTGGATTTTGTAAAAAACATGCCTGTGAAACCTGGACCAAGTGTTTGGGGGGCTCTCGTCACTGCTTCAGTTGTACATGGGAATTCTAAGATGCAACAGCTAGCTTATAGATGCCTTATCGAACTAGAACCCTATAATCCGTCGAATTTTATTTCGTTGTCTAATGTGTATGCTTCTTCCAAGCAATGGGATGTTGTGGCTGAAGTGAGAACAGTGATGAAAGAAAGAGGCTTGAGGAAGGATCCGGGGTGCAGTTGGATTAGCATCAATAGCACCACAAACTGTTTCTATGTTGCTGATAAAGATCACCCTTGTTCAAACTCAGTCTATGACATGCTTGAAAGCCTCGTATATGTAATGAAGGAAGCAAAATACTCTTAAGAATTATGATATAGAAAGTCGAACATGAATTGTTTTTCTTTTTCCTTTTTTCTTTTTTTTTTTTAATCTTCACTTTGATGTTAAACTGCAAAGATGTTTGGAATCTATAAACTGTGATGCTTTTGTAGAAATTCTTCACATGGATATCTTAAAGAATGAGAATAGGCTATGTTGTGTGGAAAAATGTAGATGACGCGTGGAAGAACAACAGTGTGACACGTTGCCTTACTTTTCCTTAAAAGGCAACAACCTTCGACGCTGGGGACTCCCTTTCCTTCTGCAGCAAAGGAAGCCCAACTTAGGACGCCGACTCCTCATGATGATGACAGGTCGTACCGTCGACCTTACGACGAAAATCCTTCGGGAGAAAATCAATTGTCAAGAAAGACAACTAGGCTGAGCAGATAGAGACGGCGAGAGGAATGCCCTAAAAGGGGAAAGCCTGACATCACAAGTTGCATGCATAAATGGGGGAAGTCTGCAGTGAAGGCATTAATTGCAAACCCTTAAACCACCCTACGGGGGACAGAAAAGAGTTACAGGTACGCACAAAGTCGTAATAGGAGACTAATTGGCTGAGTGAACAGTTCACAAAGTGATTAGTGGACTATGGTTTGGGCCTAAAAAGGTAGACTACTTGAGTGCTTCTGCCTACAAAGAAGACCCACTCAATGAAGGAAGCTCGCTATAAAAGGGGCAAAGCCCCATACAGGAAAGAGGTTTGCTTCCTGAGAGAGAAAAAACGAGAGAACAACAGTTGATGTAAATTGTAACAATCTCAAAAGGAATATAAAACTACAGTGGATGTAGCTCTTCATTAACAGAGTGAACTACTATAAATTTTATGTGTTCTTCTACATCAAGCATATTTTCTCATATTGCTCACCATTCTAAATATACAACAAACACTTTACTGCATAAATTGAGTATACAGTCAATATCAAGCCGGTAATCTAACGGGATACCTAAAGGTGACCCAACCTATTTCTGTTGACGAGTTTTCATCGTCAACAATTGACGACTCGACTGGGGACTGAACTCAGAATCTCTGGTTCATACGTTTGACCCCCAATAATAACATAGTTAGCAGATTCCAAGTACTCTACTCTCTAATAACCAGATTCCGATCACCAACCACAACCAATTTCATGTCGTTTTCCATGACGATTCCAAGTATGACCTCTGAGCAATCCCCGGTGTCGCCGCTTTCCCACCGCCACGGCCACCTCCACCGTCGAGCGACGAACAACAAAACGCTCCGAAGCGCTTAAAGATGACGGGGGCGGCGGTCTCAATCAAATCTTCTTCTTCATCTCCTTTGAAAACTGAAGTTTCCGAGTCTACTCGAGCCGTCATCCTGTTCAACTCGCATGATGCCGGAGTCCGACTCGTCCACACTCTCATGGCCTGCGCCGAGGCCGTACAGCAGGACAATCTGAAGTTCGCCAACACACTGGTGAAGCACGTTGGACTACTCGCGGCGTCACAGGCCGGCGGGTTGAGGAAGGTCGCGATGGAGGCGGCCGGGTCGGGCAACTCGGGTTAAATGTTGCTCGCCCCGCAGCCCAACCCGCACATTGCGGGTTGGGCCTATTTGAATCCGTTTTTTTTTTTAAATATAACCTTATATTTTCAGGTCGGCCGGACGGATTAGTCGGATTCGGTTAGTCGGTTCGGGTTCAATTCTTACACCCCTAACCCCAGCAGTCGGGAGAGGAGAGTATACCGGCGGTCTTGCCGAATGAGAAGCGGATGCCGTAGGGCCACCAAGGGAGAGGGCCAAGGATCTTGATGGCGGAGCTTGAGAGTAAACCGGTGGTGTTGCTGAATGGAAAACGGGCACCGTGCGGCCACCGAGAGTGAGGGTCAAGGATGGCAATGTCGGCGCATGAGAGTAAACCGGAGGTGTCGGTGAATCTGTAACGGACAGGGGAGTAAACCTGCCAGGAAGATTCTCCGATGCGCCTTTTCTTGAGTTGTTCTTCTTTAGAAGTGTCGAGCTTCATTGGCCTTTTTTGTGGGTGGCCCATTTTTGATTGTCTTGTCTCTGCGTGGAAAGTGTTTGTTTCTAGAGAGATTGTTATGTGATGGAAATATTGAGTGAATGGGAAGGTGCAGAAGGGACTGGAGAGGAGGTTTAGTTCTGGTATTATGGAGGGAAGAACCAGCCTTACAAAACAATCGAATACGTATCTGAGAGGAAGCCGGGAAGGGTGGCAAAATGTAATTTATTTTAAAGATTGTTAAATTACAAAATTCTTTAAAAAAAAATGGCCGCATACATAAAAAAAAATAACATTATTGTTCAGAAAACGACATTATTTTGAAATGTTTTATTCGGTTTTTTTTTTTTTTTTTCCTTTCAATGTATTGGTGAATTATTCTTGAAGCCATTATTTTATCGTTAACGTGAGATAAGTAATGTGAAACCGAAATTACGGGTTATAAGTTTTGAAAAAACAAAATTATGACTGTGAGTGTTGAAATCATTTAACCTCAATATTTGAGCCATTTTTAATTTATATATTATGTTGTGATTCTTTTAATTATTTTCTTTTCCTTCAAAAAGTTGTGCATAGATATTACTAGCGCGTTGCAACGGGAAATAATTTTATACTATGCAGAGTTGTAAATATGATGAAGGTTAAAGATGAAATGTTCAAGGTGTGGTTAGATTGAAAGGATTGAAAAGCTTTTTTTGCAATGAGGAGGAAGAAGGAAAAAAGTTTTATAGTACATAATAAATTAATAATTTTTACAATACAAATATATCATAGAAAGTAAATAAGTAGAGCAAAGTATAGATTTATCTAAAAATTACCAGGTGAGTTAAAACAGAGGAAAAAATAATGACTTTAGTATATGCATAAAACAGTAAGAAAGAAAAAACCAAGCGTAAAAGGGGATCAGGCAAAAAAGGAGTAGGAAAAATAGGACATATAAAATGGAAGAAGAAGTAGAAGGTAAGATTGCATTTGCATCAAATGGCCAGTTATCCAAATCCAAGGACAAAAGAGGCCGTTACATTGTCAAAGTAAAAGAGTACAGCGATATCTTGAACTCAAAAAAATACTAACAATTTTCCAATGCAAGTGGCAAAACAGTGCAATGACAGCCCAAATACCAATGCAAGTGGCAAAACAGTGCAATGACAACCTAAATACTAATGACTCATTTAGTTCGTAGATTTGAGTTTTTAATTTGAGTTGATATGTGATTTTATTTGAGAGTTTTTTACTGTAATAAAAAAGTTAGATGTGATTATTTCTGAGAGCTTTTTACTGTAACAAAACTCAAATTCTAAACTCAAATTAGTAAAATGAATGGAGCCTGAAGATGAAGAAGTTCATGCTCAGAAATGGAAAAAGGTAGGGGAAAATAAGATAAATCCGTTCTCCCACTATACAATCTATAGTACTTTAAATTAGAATCAATAGTGGGAAGTTCAAATATAATGGTTCAATTTTAAATGGCAAAAAAAATGAGAGAAGGAAAGGAAAAATAGCAACCGCTGAAAATGAGTGAAAATTAGGTGCAAATAGGAACAGTAAAATATAATGTTTCAGTTTTAAATGTTAAAAAGATAAGAATAATAGAATAAAAAAATTAAAAGTGAGTAATAGAAATAAAAAGATAACCTAATTGTAAATAACTTCTGAATAAAATAATAGTGCCAAAAGGGCAGAAACAGTAAATTAAGGAAAAGGCAAAAAAAAAAAAAAGGAGAGAAGCAGAAGCTTTGATTAAGAAAATATTGACAAATCTGGAATCCAAATAAAAAGGGCACACTCTTTTTGGACAAATCATATAATACTCAATGGTCAAAATCATTTATAATCATTATTGCCGTTAAAAAAAAAACAACAAAGGAAAAAAGGGTTAAGTAAAACTGAAATATGTCAAGGTAAAAATATACATATAAATATCTCACTAATGAACAATTTTAAAACTAACAACTAAGGACTATACACTGATTATACAGAGAGAAAGAGAAGAAGAAAATAATCATAGATTAACAACATTTAGACTTGGAGGTAAAGCTCTGGATTTGAAGTTGACGTGAAGAGTTTCAATGTCTGAAATTCTCAAGAGTGTTTGACTCAACTTCGTGCTCCGTTAACTTCCTCTTTCGGAGGTCTGATTGCATGTCAGACCTTGTCAAAGATGGTTTATACGATGTTGGCTAAGCAGCTGTCAAGTTGGCTCTAACATGAAAGTTGCTCTGAATGAAGCTGCTCCAACGGTGAGCATACTCCAAACAAAGGCTGCTCCAGGTGAAGCAGCTCTTAAGGGTGAGCGTGCTCTAGGCGAATGTTGCTCTGATGGTGAGCTGGGTAAGAAGAAGTCTAATGGAAGGACGCCTGACACGGAAAAGGCTCTGTTAGACATACTTGGACATGAAGAGGATGCTCCGGAAGACATGTTGGCCACATAAGGAGCCTCCATTAGGCATGTCTGGCGCAGGTAAAGCCTCTGTTGGTGTCAAAACACTGATAATCAACCTTGAAGAGGAAGAAGATGTTCTAAGGCTTGGACTTAGGGGTTTTAGGCTTCCAAAAGGACGGGAGGAAGACTTTTTGGGAATTCTATTGGTTTCTGAAATGATTTCGAATGCGGAAGATGTGAGTAGCAGATCGTGTATAACATAAATTTTCATAAAACTTTCAGATACTCTATAAATTGAATAAATTAATCACATTAATTCATTTATCAAGAACCGAATTAAGAATTATGCCTAGCAACTGATTTGGATGATAACTTGTGTTCTTTGATCTCGAACGTTCGCTCCAATGTTAGTTTACAATACCCGAATCTTCCTCGTCAATTTCTCGAATCTACGAAGATATGTGTGTGGGCACACCTGAAACAAAATGAGATTAGCAAGAACACTCAAATTTCCGCGAACACTAACACATGCACAACATGGAATTTTTGGAAAAAATTTCCCTCTTCCTCACTCTATAAAATTCGGCTACTTTAGCTTTTTGAGAGAAAAAATTGTCTCTCACAATTTTCTATAATATCTTATTTTATAGAATAACAA